ATTAAAGGGGGAGATTACTAACGGCGGGGCCATGAAGAGTGTCAGAGCGATGAAATCCTTAATATTTGATTCAAACCAAGGACGGAGAAACTGTTCCCCGCTGATGAATCTTAAATAGGCATCGGTGAATGAAAATATTTCGGCCCAGAATTCTTTGTAAGCTTCCCAGTGCTTCTCCAAGAATGATTGTGATGATGAATCGTCCATTTCTTCGCTTGCTCTGAGTAAGTATCCTCGACCTTCTTTCTTTTAAAGGGTATGCAGGTTCTGATCTTGTACAATGAGAACTTTGGGTTATTTTAGTGCTCTTACCATCAATTGTCACATGTCAAATAGTATTTATTGCTAAAATTTAGGGTTTTTTTTAAAAGGATAAAGTACACATAGCCCCTAACTATAGGTATTGCTTTTTTAGTCTTAAATTATTAAAAGTTACAAATTAATCTTCTAATTGTAGGATGCTATTTTGTTGAGTCCTCTGACTATAAAAAGTTACAAAATGATCACCTCAGAATTCATATATTCTAAACTTGTCATTTTTTAATAAAAAATGATAGTCATCTAAGATGGACGTTAACCTGTTAATTGAGATAAGAAAAATCTAATCATAGATTCATTTGAATTGTACTTTATAAATCGACTCATCGTTTATATTATGTTATCAATTCAGTGCTTGAAATATTAAGTTGTCGAGCTAATGGTTGAAAAAAATGACAGTGTCAATAGACATCATTAAAATATAATTTTATCATATTTCAGTCAGCAGGTTAACGTCAAACTTAGATAATCATTAATATTTAACAAAAAATGATGAGATTAGAACATATGAATAATCAGGTGACCATTTTGTAACTTTTAATAGTTGGGGTACTCAACAAAAATAATTATCTATAGTCGAAGGATTATTTTATAATTTTAATAGTCAAAGGGCTCAATAAATTAATATCTTATAATCGAGAGACTATTTATGTATTTTACCCCAAAAATAATTTATTATTTTATTATGTATTTTAAAATTTACACATAAATACATCCTATTGTGATATTCTCGTTTCAGGTCTAAGTTCAAGTAATTATGTTATATCTTATATCAAGATTCAACATGTCCAAACAATTCGTTGGTACTTTTTGGTGATTTTAATTGTCGTTATTAATGACGGTGAATGACAGTGACTAATGATTTACCAAACTGTTACGTGATGATGTTTTATCTCTCTATTTAGGTTTGCTTAATGAAGCTTTTAATTTTGAAGATGTAAACAAAATTGTTATCGTGCTTATCATAGAAATTGATAATCCGGTTCATATGAAAAACTTCCGTCCTATTAGCCTTTGTATTGTCATTTACAAAGTGATTTCTAAAGGAATTGTGAATCGTCTCAAGCCTATCTTGCCTCTCTATGTGTCGGAGAACCAATGTGTCATTGTACTGGGGCGTCTTATCTCCAATAATTTCTTGATTGTCCATGAATTGTTCCATTATTTCAAAGGTTCTAAGAATGGGCCTAATAAAAGGGTTCGCGGTCAAACTTGACATGAAAAAGACTTATGACCTAGTCGGAGCTTTATCTATGATGTGATTTGTCGTTTGGGTTTTGACATGTAACATATCCACTGTCTTATTATTTTAGGATTATTGGTCACCGTTCAGGTTTCTTTAAACCCGAGCGAGGTCTCAGACAGTTGTCCCCTTATATGTTCCTTTTCTGCACCAAATGGATGTATGTTGCTTTAGTCGCCGAACAAAGACAAAGTTGTATAAAAGGGGTACGGGTAAGCTTACGGGGGCCAGAGTCAATCATCTCATGTATTCAGATGACAACCTCATGCTTATTAAGAACTTAGAATATGAGGCTCGCCGACTCAAACTTGTTCTTAATGAGTATGAAGGGACTTTGGGATAGAAGGTTAACCTGGACAAATCTTTGATCTATTTCAGCACCAACACAAAGCAAAATGATAGGAGGCTTATCACGTCTATCTTGGGAGTTCGAGAGTGATCGGAACCTAGAACTTATCTGAGGCTCTCCCTTATCATCGGTAGGAACAAGATGAATGCTTTCAGTTTCCTTCGGGATAGAGTTTTATGATGAATGCGAGATGATGAAGTAGAGAAAGAAGGAGATTTCAGAAGAGAAGCAGAAAGGATTGAAGAAATTCATAAATTCATTCAGTAAAATCATGCATAATCATCTATTTGCAGGTACATTAGTTTTATACAATTGTACTATAAAATCTAACAAGCCAGCTGGCATATATTCTAATTGTTTTCTGTTACTGCATATTATCATTGGGCTTCTCTGTTGGGCTTCACTGCTGTTGGGTCTTCAAATGGCTTATGGGTTAATGAACTCGTGCTCCTCACGTGATATTCACTTCCTCAGGTAATAGTCCCCAATTCCTTCAGCAATCCCTAACCCTTGTACTACATTTTCCCAATTCCCTCTTCGCTTCCCTGATCGCCTTCTCTTCCTTCCCCACGTCCTTCTCCTCTGACCATGACAATACCCACCGCTGGAGTAGATCCTTGTTCCCAAGGATCAAAGTTGGGAAACTATCCCCGAAGAATAGTATAGTCCTCCCAAGCATCGTACGATTCATCCAGATTCGTCCATCGCACCAATAATTGAGTAACAAGTTTGTGGTTCTTGTTTACAATTCTTCTTCCCATGATTTGAGAAGGCTCAATTTTAATTTCACCTTCCTCAGTCATTTCAGAAGGATCCGTAGAAGAAGTGGCTGACTGTCCAATGTGCTTCTTCAAAAGACTCACGTGAAAAACCGGATGTAACTGTGATATCTCAGGTAAAGCCAAACGGTAAGCAACCTCACCAATCTTTTCTGTAATTTTGTAAGGCCATAGTATCGGGCTGCTAACTTTAGGTTTTTGCGCAGAGCCAAAGATGTTTGGCGATAAGGCTATAATTTCAGGTACACTTCTTCACCTACTGCAAAATTTCTTTCAGATCGTTTCTTATCAGCTTTCTGTTTCATGAGATTAGCTGCATTTTCTAAATGTAATTTGACTAGCCTGCGAATGTCCTCTCTAGTTTGCATTAGTTCACTGACAGAGTGCACTGGTGAGTCTGTTTGCCACACCATTATAAGGGGTGCATAGCCATATAAGGCTTGAAATGATGTTAGTTTTAGGGTTGTATGATATGTGGTATTATACCACCACTCTGCATGAGACAACCATTTAGCCCACTGCTTTGGTTGGGAGAAACACAAACCCCTTAGATATTTCTCAAGACACTGATTCACCCTTTCACTTTGTCCATCAGTCTCTGGGTGATATGCAGTACTAAATAGAGTCTTAGTACCCAGCTGCTTCATTAGTTCTCTCCAAAAGAGACTAGTGAAGGTTTTATCCCTGTCTGAAATTGCCACTTTTTGCTGGCCATGCAGCTTATAAATGTTATCCAAATATAGTTTAGCTACTTCAGTAGCAGTGTAAGGGTGTGATAGTGCCACAAAATGATTGTACTTGGTGAACTTATCAACCACCACCAAGATACAATTCTTCTTCAAAGAAGTAGGCAAACCCTATATAAAATCCATAGTGATTACCTCCCAGGACTGTTGAGGAATAGGCAGTGGTTGAAGTAGACCATGTTTAGCAAAATGCTCCACTTTAGTTTGCTGACATATTGTACAAGTACTTACATAAATTGTCACCATAGCCTTAAGTCTAGGCCAATAAAAATAACTTCAAATTCTTTGATAAGTGGCATGAGTTCCTGAATGACCTCTATGAGGTGAGTTAAATAGGGTTTGAAGAATCTGTAGCCTAAGAGAGCCTTTAGTGCCAATATAAACCCTGTCTTGAAATATGAGAATTCCTTTGGAATATTTCCACTTAGAATCAGCAGTAGGAGTCACAGTTAAAATGGAAGTCCACTCAGTAGCCAATAAATAATCCTTGTAACTCTCCTCCACTTCTTGAACCCAAGTAGGAATAACTAGGGTAGTTCTCATGACAAGACACTGACCCTAGTCTTCCCACTGCCTGGATAAGGCATCTGCCACAACATTTGATTTACCTTTCCTGTATTGGATAGTATAATCCAATCCCAATAATTTTGTCAGTCCCCTTTTCTGAATAGAAGTAGTGAGTTTTTGATCCAATAAGTATTTTGGAGGTTCATGATCAATTTTAATGATAAAAGGTTTGCTCTCTAAATAGTGTCTCCACTTGGAGACTACTAATAAAATAGCAAGATATTCATTCTCATAAATAGATAGAGCAGCATGTCTAGGACTGAGAGCTTTACTTAGAAATGCTATAGGTCTGCCATCTTGTGATAAAACAACCCCTATGCCTCCAGAACAGGCATCAGTCTCTAAATAAAAAAAAATTAGTGAAGTCTGATAGAGCTAACACAAGTGCAAGACACATAGTTCTCTTAAGCTCTTCAAAAGCAGTCAAAGCTGCACTGTTCCACTTAAAATAATCCTTTTTCAGCATCTGAGTCAAAGGTTTACTAATAGTACCATAATCTTTGATAAATCTTCTATAATAATATGTCAACCCCAAAAATCCTCTCAATGATTTTAAGGATTTAGGCAAAGGCCAATTTCTCATTGCTTCTACCTTGCTAGGATCAGTAGCAACACCAGCAGCTGAAATAATATGGCACAAGTACTTTACTTGGGTCTGGCCAAAGAAACACTTAGATAGTTTTGCAAATAGCTGATTACTTTGTAAAAAATCCAAAAACAATTGTAAATGCAGAATATGGTATGCCATAGAGTTGTTGTAAACTAACATGTCATCAAAACACCGAAACAAACTTCATAAGGAATGAACTAAATAATTCATTCATCAAAGCCTGAAATGTTGCAGGAGCATTAGTTAAACCAAATGGCATTACCTTAAATTCATAATGACCCTGATGAGTTCTAAATGTTGTTTTATAAATGTCTTCCTTTTTGATCCTGGTCTGTCAGTAACCTGACCTTAGATCAATCTTTGAAAAGTAGACAGCCCCATGTAGCTCATCCAATAAATCCTCAATAACATGAATAAGAAATTTATCCTTAATTGTCATACTGTTCAACTGTCTATAATCAACACAGAACCTCCCTGTACCATCATTCTTTTTAATGAGAAGGCATGGAGAAGCAAATGGACTTTTGCTAGGTTGAATAATAGAAGATGATAACATAGTAGCAATCTGTTTTTACACTTCATCTTTTTGGTTATGAGGGAATATGTAAGGACTTAAATTAACAGCCATAAAATCAGGCTTTAAGGGAATAACATGATCATGTGTTCTTGTAGGTGGAAGACCTGTAGGCTCAGCAAAAATAGAACTGTATTTCTCCAATAATGGTTGAATAGATGTAGGAATAGGCCTTGAGCTTTCTACCATAGCCATCAAAATAACATTCCCCAATATAGCAGAATTAGAAACTGTCATTTTCAATAGTGTAGCTCCTGAGATTTGTTGCAAAAAATTTGAGGGTTGTTGACCATGGATAACAATATGCTCATCTTGATGTACAAAACTGAGTGTCAGTTTGTTAAAATCCATTAAGATAGGACTGAATAACTTCATCCAATCAACACCTAGGACCATATCACTTCCCCCTAATTGAAGAAGTCTAAAATCATGAACAAAAGACTGTCCTTGCATTTGTCATTCCACTCTGTTACACATGGCTGCACTATAAAGCTGCTGTCCATTAGCCACTATAATGGCTAAAGGATATGGTGTAGTCACTTGAATCTCTGCATCAGCCTACTGAGGTGTTAAAAAACTATGGGTGCTACCACTATCAATTAATATGTTCAGTGGTCTGCTTAGAATAATGCCTTGAATTCTTAGTGTATTATGACCAATACACCCAGTGATAGCATTCATAGAAATTTCTAGGTTCTGATCCTCTTGCAAGACTTGTTGATCTGTCTCATTTCGTAAGGTCTCTGAGGATAGAACAGGTTCCTCTTCAATAATCATATTCAATTGCTTTGTCTTACATTGATGGCTTGGAGAGAATTTCTCTCCACACTTAAAACATAGGTTGTTCTGTCTCCTATAGTCCAGCAGATTCTGTTTTGAAGGCATACTAGTTGAACCTTTCTGTTGTGGGGGTAGAAAATTAGGTTTAGAAGTAGGTATTGTGTTTGGGTAGGGCGGGTTTCTAAAATATGCTCTCTCTCTTTTGTTCTCATATTCCACAGAAAGCTCATACAATTTAGCTTGTCTGCAAGCTTCAGAAAGTGTCTTTGGTTCCAAAGCCTTAACTCTATGCTTGATATCTTCTATTAGCCCACTAATAAAAAGAGAGACAAAAAACTCTTCACCCAGGGTAGGATTTTATAACAACATATGAGGTTGTAATTCCTCAAATTTGTCCTAATATTCCTCCACTGATCCCTTCTGCACTAACTTTATAAATTCCTCAACTATGTCAGTAAAGGACCTATCACAGAATCTATGGCAAAGATCTGCCTCAAACTCATGCCATGTCACATGATGCTTCTGCATGATATAACCGTCGAACCAAATTTTTGCCTTCCCCATTAAATACATTGTAGCCACTTCCACCCTCTGTTCTTCTGTAATATTTCATAAAGAAAAATACTTGAGGCATTTTTGTATCCACCCTCTAAGATTACTTCCTTCAAAAAATGGCAGCTCAATCTTGGGTCTATGCCACATTAACCCTGTAGTATTAGAAGAACTTCCAGTGCCTCTTCTATCCTCTTCCAAACTAACTATATTGTTTCTAACTGCACTGTTCTCTCCTACTTGGATATCATTTTTAAAACTGGGTAAATTCCCTAGTTTGGATCTTAGAATTCCAGGTTCATTAGGTTTATAAGTAAACCTGGTTTTATCATTAAGCACTGTGACCTTTACAGGTTGTTTTCCCTCTGTTTTAGAATCGTTAGGAGACTGTACCTGTTCATTATCAGATTGGTTCTGCTCCCCATTTCTACCAGTTAAAATCTTTAATAATTCCTCCACATACCCTTGATTAGTGGTCATCCTGGATTCCAAGGAAGTAAGTCGATTTTCTTTATTCTCCCACCATTTAGGAATTTTCGTGTCATCCTGAGAATGCTTGACCAACGTTGATAACTCCAGTTGCTTCTGTAATTCTGAAAATTATGGTGTTTCACACATGTTCTAATTTTTCTTTGTCATTCCAGCAACGATTTGCCAGGAAAAATTTGGCTCTGAGATACCAAATTGTGATGAATGCAAGATGATGAAGTAGAGAAAAAAGGAGATTTCAGAAGAGAAGCAGAAAGGATTGAAGAAATTCATAAATTCATTTAGTAAAAATCATGCATAATCATCCATTTGCAGGTACATTTACTTTTATACAATTGTACTATAAAATCTAACAAGCCAGCTGACATATATTCTAATTGTTTTCTGTTACTGCATATTATCATTGGGCTTCTCTGTTGGGCTTCATTGCTGCTGGGTCTTCAAATGGCTAATGGGTTAATGAACTCGTGCTCCTCACGTGATATTCACTTCCTCAGGTAATAATCCCCAATTCCACCAACAATCCCTAACCCTTGTATTACATTTTTCTCAATTCCCTCTTCGCTTCCCCTATCGTCTTCTCTTCCTTCCCCACGTCCTTCTCCTCCGACCATGACAAGTTTCAAAACGGATACGGGGTGGACAAAGAACTTGCTCTCGATGGCTGGAAGGGAAGTGTTTCTAAAAGCTGCACAGGCATTTCCAACCTACGCAATGGCCTGCTATTGGATCCCTGGTGGTATTGTCGCGGCTATCATCTTGGATATGAGATCGTTTTGGTGGACGGATATTCAAAGAAAAGGTTAGGCTCACGTGGCTAGGGAGAAAAATTACAGACCCAAAAGATTTGGTGGCCTCGGGTTCAATGATCTTAACCTTTTTAATTTTTCTCTCCTTGAAAACACATCTGGAGGATTCTGCACAACCAAAACTCGTTGTTCAAGGTGTTTTCTGAAAAATATTTTCCAAATGAAGACCTCTTCAGTGCGGGCCGATGCTCCAATCCTTCCTTTGCATGGAACTGCCTCGTTAAAGCAAAAAAAGATAAGCTTTAGGACGGTTTTTACTTGCGTATCGAAATCAACCCTGCCTTGCTCTTTGCTTCTAGGTGGGGTGGCCTCCACCCATTGGCGTTCTCCTCTTCTTATCTGGATTGTCCCGGTGATCCAATACGTTACAGGGAATTCATGGTTTGCTCCGAGCCTATATGGGATGATAAGAAGGTTAGACGGGTCTTCACTGCAGAAGACATTCTCAGGTGCCTAATCTTTCTGGTTAAAGAAGGCTGCTTCATTTGGGGTCATCACAACTCCGGGTTTTGTAGTACTAAGTCAGGTTACTCCTGGCTTCTCAAGGAGCTGCAGGAGAGTAGAGACTCCTCACCTGTCTGGATCCGTATTGCGAAACTTAAGACTCTCCGAAGGGTTAAGTTTTTTTTATGGAGAATGTCATGGAGCAGTCCCTGTTGGTTCGAAACTTCTGTTGGTTGGGATCGGGATGGAACCTGCTCTTAATGTAAGGAACATCAAGAAACGCTCCTCCACGTTCTCAAAGACTACACGAAAACTAGGGAAGTGTTGCAATTGTCAGGGCTGGACCAACGCTATTTCACAAGCGAATTTCCTTCATGTAAAGCGTGGATTGAATCGGTGGCCACCAAAATGTCCGAGGAGTGTTTCACAAGTTCCTTCTGCTGTTATGGAATATTTCGAACCGGAGAAACAAATGAGTGCACTCTAATGTGCTCCAACCGGCGAGGTTGGTGGTTGAATCTGCTTGGCTCCTTGGTTCGGATTTTAAATCATCTATGAGTAGTGGCGACAGAACTGGATCGACGACCATCAGGGAATACGATCAAACATTAGCGGAAGCCCAGTGTTGATAGAGTCGAAACGATTTTTAAATGTGGGCGAGATTTGGAAAACCATTTTTAATTATTCTCTTGTGATTGATTTTTAATTAAAAACAATGTGATTTTAGAAAACCTCTTGTTTCAAAAATTTGAAAATTTCTTTACGATAAAAAACATATGATTCGAGAAGTCGCCACCAATCTTTGATTAGGGTGTGATTGGGCACCCAAAAACGTTGTCATTTTAAATAAAAATTAATTTTAATTAAAACAACAAATTGGAGTCTGCTTTATCAGAAAATGAGTTCGGGAGTCGATTACGCGTGGGGAAGGATTAGCACCCCCACAACGCCCTAAATCGGTACCTAGTCGATTAATTAACGTCTTTGCAATAAAATTTAAAAATTCGAAGTTAACTTGATTTATAATCCCCAACAAAAAACAATATACGAATTTTACAATATTTAAAAACACCAAAATAGATTAAATTAAAATTACACAACCTTTAAAAGATAAAGAATATTCGATTATTTAAAAATATTGAGACCATATCTTTAGATAAGTTCTAACGACCTTTTCTCAAAATTTTAAATAACCGAATATTTCCTTTTATTTCACTCCCAAATTTTAAAGTAAAGAATCATAATTTTTAGTGACAATGACGAGATACACTTGTAATTTAAAATCGTTAAGAACAACTTTCTGTAAGTTAAGAAAATCCATTTTGACCATTTTAAATTAAAAGGGTATTACCCTTAATCCGATTATGTAATAATGTCGAGTTATGCACGTGAGGATAACATACAAAATTTAAGAACATATGATTAATAAGTAACAAATACTATATGAAAAATTATCATGCAATAATACTTTAATGTCCAAAATTACAAATTTTTATAATTATACATTATAACCTATTTATATATATGCAATGCATCAATGTGATTTAAATACAAAAAAAACCTAACCTACCAAACTATAAGAAATTTAGCTACATATATTAAACTAATAACTAAATCATATTAAATAGAATTTCACTATCTAAGATACAATCGAAATACTAATTGAAAATATAATAAATAATAAAACCAAAATAAAACAAATCACAAGGACTAAAATTATACTAAACTCTAAACATACACAAGACCAAAAAGAAACATGTAAAACTATAAAGGTCAAATGTCTAAAATTAAATAAATTAACAATTATGACTAAAATTTAATACACATAAAATAGAAAGACCGAATCGTAAACACACAAACATTGATTTGATGATCTATATGAATTACATAGAAAATTACGATGACACGTACCTCAAATAACCCAAATAATTATAACTAGAATCTAATTTGTAAAATAACTAAATCGAGTTACACACAAAATGCTAAATTTTAAAATAGTCCTTACCAGTGACTAAAGTGGAAATAAACGGTTAAAGAACAATTTATCCTAAATGTAATATATAAAAATCTAATTATAACCTAATCCTAAACCTAAGCTCAAACTAACATCCCTCAGCCGTTTGCAACACCCCTCTCCTCGCTATTATCTTCTTCGGCTGCTCAACAAACCAGAGGACCCCAACGTCGCCGGCCGCCTCTCTTCAACGGAGTTCTACACTTCGACCACCAAACCCCGATGACCAGGTAACTACATCTAACATTAAAATATATTTGGCTTTCTTTTTTTACTGAAAAACCCTTTCTGCTGTTGATGGGAACTAACAGACGAATTCATTTTTTTCTCGAAAATGATCGGTTTGAATGCTAATTTCCCATGACCAAAGCACTTTAAATAGCTATTTTTTAAAAGAAAATACTCATGAAGTTGCATAAGCCTCTCTTCGTGATCTAGAAATTGCTTTTGGAAAAAATAGCTATTTTTTTAATATGGGATAATAAGTACAAGTTGCATAAGCATTCTCTGGAAAGTGCATAAGCACTTTAAATAGCTATTTTTAAATAGGGAATATAAGTACAAATTGCTTTGGAAACGTATCTTACCAAATTCCAATGCTTTTTCTATTGCTTTCTTTTGTATCTTGGAAAAATAAGGACCGAATCTCCTCTTACAAATGTTCTCTGATATTTCGAATGTGTAAAGATAGGATTTACACCATTGTTCTCAAATCCCTCCTTTGTTGGCGATATCCCCCCAGTAGCAGACCCTCCTCGTTTCCATTTTTATTTCTTTTCTCTCCACCGAATCCTTTGTCTGCATGTTGATTTTCTATGCATTTAGTGATATTTGGTTGAGCAAGTATTGACTTTGATAATATTTTCGGTGGCTAATTGTTTATTCGCTGTGGATGATTTGTGCAGTAAGCTTTGATGGTGGCATGATTGGCGGTAGCTCATACACGTGGATGGAACATCACTGAAGTACACTAGTGGCTTAAACAAGTTACTTGTAATTATTTTAGGACTGTTGGATTTTCGTTGGGTTTGCATTGGGCTACGGGATTCTTTTGTTGTAGTGGGGTTGAACTTTAGATCTACATAAATAATGTAATTTGTATTAATAATAATATATAATAATAATATAATTAATATTTATAATATTTTTTAAGCTCGATAAAAAACGGGTGTCTACAGATAGAATTAAAATCAATGTGGACGGGGCCTTTCTCATCGACTCTGGGTAAGGAGCAATCGGAGTCATTGCTTGAGGTCACAATGGAATGGCTGTGGGAGGCCATGCTCGGAAGCTGAGCGGTACTCTCACAGCTGAGCTTGTGGAGGCTGAAGCGGTCCGTGTGGGGATCGTGATGGCTAAGGAAAATGGTTGGACGGGGGTGGATAATGAGGGGGATTCTTTTGGTGTCATTAACAGGTTGCGCTCCAAGGACATGGATCTGTCTATTGTGGGTATCCATATCTCGTAAGTGCGTATTGCCATTGCCGAGTCTCCTCATCTTACGTTAATGTATGTTCCAAGAATGGCAAAAGGAGCACTTCATGAACTAGCAAAGTGGGTTGTTTCTAGTAGTTTTCTTATTTGGTTTGAAAGTGATTACTCTCACTGTATTTCGAACGTTTTTGTTTTGGATGCTGTTGGCATTGATTGAATGTTGTTCCTTTGTAAAAAAAAATGATTACCAAATTTTAGAAAAAATTAGAGAAATTTTATAGAGAGAAGAAAATAAATGAAGTGAAAAATTAAAAAAGATATGATATTTAAACCCTTGTGAAACAACATTATTTTGAAAGGACTATTCCGATATCAAAATAGTTCTTTTTTTTTTAATTAATCACTTGTATCCGATCTATTAATTAATTAATTCAGATTGAGTTTTGCAAAGGTTTATTATGGAGGCAACCCTCTTAACATAGTTTGCTTCATACACAAACGCCATGATTCAAATTCTTGACATTGCTTAAGAAATCTAGTGTTTCATCCCACTAGACCAACTGGTTGTTGGTGGGTGACCTTTCTAATTTTCAATCTCTTATAATTTAGTCTATCAACATGTAAAATTGTGTTTGAGCCCTTTAATTTCTAGTTTCTTTCAATTTAGCCTCATTTGTATGTTAATTATTATTTTAACCAGTTCCATTTCCTTTCAATTTAGTCTATCAACTATTTTGTAACTTTTAATAGTTGAGAGACATAATAAAACAACACTCTATAGTTGGAGGATCATTTTCTAATTTTAAATAGTCGAAGGACTTAATAAAATAATATCTTATAGTCGGGGACCGTTTGTGTACTTTACCCTCATAACCAACGTCATGCATGCTTTGGCTAAAAATGATATTTTACTTCATGGGATTCCTCAGTTTAATTGCTTCAGTATCTCTTTAAAATATCACTTAATTGAAATGTTTAATGGATAAATATATCACAAATTTCTAGCTTTAACCGTTAAAATATCATTTCATTGGGTATAGAAGAAAAAAATATTAGATCCTTGTATGAAACAATTTACTTCAGTGCTTAAAGAAATCGTTGTTGTTCCTAGAGGTCACGGGTTTGAGCACCAACGGATGCAGTAGGGTAATTGAGTGTTCGTTGTCAAATAGTTGAGAGTATTTAGAACATTTGAGCACCAGCGGCTACAGCAAGGTGATTGAACGTTCGTTGTCAAATGGTTGATATTATTTAGAATATATATTAGGGTTTAAACACCAGTGGCTGCAGCAGGATGATTGAACGTTCGTTGTCAAATGATTTACCTTAGCTTGATAAAAAAAGAATATTAGATCCTTTCTTGAGGTTTGATTGTCGAAATATCATTTTAATAGGTTTAGCGAAATAAAATATAAGATTCTTTAAATAAATTTTAGTATTTGAATATTTGTATCTTAAATAAAATATTTTGGATTAAAAGAGTCATTAGTATAATAAAGGTCAGTGGCGGACGTACATGTTGTTTAGGGTGGACACATGCCCATCCTAAAATCTAAATTTCTTTCGATTAGTTATTCATTTTACTGATGATATCTATCCTAAAATTTTATTTGTGTTCACTCCATATAAAAAAAAATTATGTTATTAATATATATATCAACTTTAAAAAATATTTATGGATCTGTCACTAAACAAGGTCAGTAATTCGAATCCTGATATTTGTGAATGTAATAAACTAAGATGAGAAGATCTCCTTTACCTCTACAATATCTAATCCAAATTAATCAATCAATAGATCGAATACTGATGATTATAAAAAAAATTATGAACAACATAAAATATTAGATGTAACAATTTTCTATAGGACAGATTTTAAAATGGGCAGCAATATATGATCCGTTAAAATAGATATGCTTGGGCCTTATATATTGTATCTTTGCATTTACTTGAACAGGTTACGTGGGCTATTATGGACTGAAAATTAAACATTGATACAAGATTTAGGTAAGCTTAGGTCAGCAAGTACCCTTAAATCTAGGCTACATGATAATGAGTTTTCTTTTTTAGTGTTTTGAATAATTACAAGTAACATATAATTAGAATTTTTTAATTTATTAATAATGTACACATAACTTATAAATATAATTGTTTTAATTCAAGTCATTAAATAAAAATAATATTCTTTTTTATAATTGAGACCACTCGATAGGTTTAAATGAAACGTATCTTCAAACATAGGACAACTTTAAAATTTATAGTCAATGTTGGTCTTCATTCGAACTTATAATATACGAATGATTATTCATTGGATTCCCTTTAACGAATGTCTTGAAAAATTAGAAAATTAAAAGTTATATGATAAAATTATAATTTTGGATTCCTCTCTTATGTTAAACAATTATAATTTTTTGAGAACAAATAGATAGTTAATTTTTAATTATATTTTAGTTGTTTCATTATTGTAATATTTTCTAATAATTATGTGTTAATTATTCAGAAGTCATTCGCGGGATCATGCACTCTTTGCTTTCCAAGTTATAATGAAAAAAAAGTACAACTGGGTGAATCCAACCTATTCTTGAAATAAACAACTCGCACACACTCCCTTTCCAAAAAAATATCAATACACCAAGGACTACGCTTAGATTTATTGGATTTGTTGCTAAAATATCGGTATTAACCCCGAAACTCCCGGCGGATGGCCAGTGACCCAAGGAAACGAAAGAATCGGTTACATTTTTCATATGATCTCCTATTTTATTTTAGATAGACTAAATATTTTATTTTAGATAGACTAAAAAAAGAACTCGATTCTTTTTTTGTATTATATCACTTTGACTCCTTTTCCATTTATTCTATCATATTTATATTATTCTAATTCTATGTATTTCTTTTTTTGTTAATAATAATCAATTATTTAATATTATTATTAATATTTATTATTAAATTATTAATTATTATCAATTTTCATTTACCTATGTCTAAACCTAGAAATGTATTTTTTTTCAATTGAAAATTCCAATAATAATAATTCTTATTAGAATTAGTGGGTAGGTTTCATGTCAATGGCAAAATACCTTATTTGTTGCAACACTCCTTTAAACATAAATAATAAAAAATAAACATAAATAATAAAAAAGGTTTCTCTTGAACTAAGAAGGGGAAGGAAGAAAGCGAGTTAGTGTGATAATTCCTCATCCTCAAATTAATCCTTCCCATGGATTATTGTCCCAACGAATAATTAATTGTAGGAGTGAAATCTTGATATAATTCGAAAAAGCGAGGAGTAAGTTCCAAGCCATAAACTAAGAAAAAAAATACATAATTCTCATGCTTATAGGATTAAACAAAGGGATTAGCAAATAAAAGTGACAATGCTACAACCAGCCCATAAATTATTAAAGCTTCCATAAAAGCCAAACTAAGCAATAAAGTACCTCGTATTTTTCCCTCTGCCTCGGGTTGTCTCGCGATACCTTCTACAGCTTGGCCCACAGCAGTACCTTGACCAACTCTAGGTCCAATAGAAGCAAGCCCGACAGCCAACCCAGCAACAATAACGGAAGCGGCAGAAATCAGTGGATTCATGATAAGTTCCTCGCACCGAAATAAAGAAAGTGTTAATGATACAATCATCCAATGAATTTTGACTTAATTATATTATTCCATCGCTAAGATTCAACCTGCCGAAGTAACTAAGAACTCCGAATGGAAGTGAGAAGATTGAAGATTATTGAACCGTCAGAACTATTTCGATATCTTTTTTTTAGTTCCTATCCACTGGATTTTTGTGAATCCGCGCATACTTTGTTATTCCATTTCCTTCCTTTTTCCAACCCATTCCTTACTTTGAATTCTTCATTTTTGTCTTCATTTTATCTCTTTATTCATTCAATTCAGAGTCAAAGACGAAACATAAGAACTTCTATTCTTCTATTGGAATCCCTATCTAACTCCACAGTAGTGGGCTGGATTAGATCTATTTTGAGTTCATATATAACTAGTCAATATCTAATATCCCATATACATGTGTTTCTTACATAACGTAAACCAATCTTTCATATCTTAGATTCAATTGGATTCTAGAATTATTCCTCAAAGGATAGACAAGAGCTGTCTTATAGCCATTAGATTCCATATACCTAATTCTACCCCTTTTTTTATTTTATTTTTTCCTAATCATTTTTTTAATATTGTTTTTTGTAAATTTGTCTCTTCCTTTTATTTATCATTATGTCACATGGATACAATCTAAATGGACGAATTTATTAGACCAAATCATTGCATAAAAATAAAAAAATCAATATCAGCATTTGATTGAGCTAAGTTAAGTTCATGCAATTTATTATTTATTTATTAAAATAAAATTTTCTTTTGGTCAATCATTGAATTGAATGAAATCGGCTGAAATGGGAATCATTCTATAGTGAAATGGGAATCATTCTATAGAAAGAACAGCTTTTTAAAATTGAAAATCATAGACCCTAAATTAATATCATACGAATTCCTATTCTAATTAGGACTTGAAATTGAATAAACAAAAACAATATCAATATAAAGATAATATTGATTGAAGGTAAATATGATATAAATATAAGTAATAAAAAGATGGACCAAACCATAATTTTAGGAAAAAGATCTTTTAGATTAGATCTCTTCATTTTTTTTATTAGAATTCTCTAATATCGTAATCTTTTTTGTTATTACTCTAGATCGTCGTATTTGTATATTTATGGTCCCTAAGTAAGTAGATTATCTTAAGTTGTGCATACATTGTATTGGACTAAGTTAAAAAAAAAGGGCTATACTATTTCAAAAACAAAAACTAGTCAATGATGACCTTCCATGGATTCGCCTATATAAGCCACAGCTAAAGTTGCAAAAATAAGAGCTTGAATCCCACTTGTAAATAATCCAAGGAACATGACATGTATAGGAACGACTGAAGGTACTAAAGAAACAAGAACAACAACTACTAATTCACCAGCTAATATATTCTCGAAAAGTCGAAAACTAAGTGATAAGGGTTTTGTGAAATTCTCTAAAATGTTAATGGGTAAAAGAATTGGAGTTGGTTGAATGTATTTACTGAAATACCCTAATCCTTTTTTGGAAAGACCCGCATAGAAATATGCTACTGACGTGAGTAAAGCTAAAGCAACAGTAGTATTTATATCATTCGTGGGTGCGGCTAACTCTCCATGAGGTAATTGTATGATTTTCCAAGGTAAAAGAGCACCCGACCAGTTAGAAACAAAAATAAATAGAAACATAGTTCCAATAAAGGGAACCCATGGGCCATATTCTTCTCCAATCTGAGTTTTGCTCACGTCTCGAATGAATTCAAGAACATATTCGAAGAAATTTTGACCCGCGGTTGGATTGGTTTGTGGATTCCGAACAGCGATAATGGTGGAACCTAATAAGATAGCAATTACAACCCAAGAAGTAATAAGTACTTGGGCATGGACTTGGAAACCTCCTATTTGCCAATAGAAATGTTGGCCTACTTCCACACCAGAGATATCGTATAACCCGTTTAGTGCGTTGATGGAACATGATATACCATTCATATTGCCCTCTGACAGAAATAGAACTTTACTTTAAAAAAAGGAATTATTTTGATTCAATCTTCTCTTGCATACTCAAATTCTATATTTTTGACACCGACTAAACTAATCACACAATATTTACGGTTTTTATCTCTTTTGTGCGATTCAGGATATAGTAACCGATTCTATAGATCTATGTAGTTCCAAAAAATAATTTATTTATCTTATTATTAATCAAGGATTTCGTATATAGCTAGAACGACCCTCACAAATTGCGATTACTAATTTGTTAAGAATTAATCGAATTGAAGCTATAGCGTCATCATTTGCTGGAATCGAAATATCTGCGAGATCGGGATCACAATTTGTATCGATTAAACAAATTGTTGGAATTCCCAAAGTGATACATTCTCGAAGAGCCGTATATTCTTCTTGCTGATCAACGATGATTACAATATCAGGCAATCTCGTCATATATTTAATCCCGCCCAGATATGTTTGCAAGCGAGATAATTATCTCTTCAACATAGATGCATCTCTTTTCGGAAGACGATTGAGTCCCCCCGTCTTTTGTTCTGTTCTCAAGTCCCTGAACTTATGAAGCCTCGTTTCTGTAGTGGGCCAATTTGTTAACATACCACCAAGCCATTTTTTATTAACATAATGACACCGAGCCCTTATTGCAGCTCGCGCCACCGAATCAGCTGCTTTATTTTTGGTACCAACAATTAAGAATTGTTTTCCCTTAGTTGCTGCATCAAAAAGTAAATCACAAGCTTCTGATAAAAAAAGAGCAGTTCTAGTCAGATTTGTAATATGAATACCCTTACGTTTTGCAGAGATATATGGCGCCATTCTAGGATTCCATTTCCTAGTACCATGACCAAAATGAACTCATGCTTCCAACATCTCTTCCAAATTTATGTTCCAATATCTTCTTGCAATTTCTCTTCACACTTCCTCTCTCTATCTCTTTTTTTACTTAAAAAAAGAGAGATACCCTGAAATAAATAATAGTTCCAATGGAACCTTCTCTTCTACCGGGGATTGGTCGTTTATCCACGAGCCAAGCCATTACTTTCTATTCGCTATTCTCTTTATTACTATTAACAAATTAACAAATCTTAACAACTCAACTGACCACAACAAAATAAATACTTAAAAGAACGAATCCACTCCTCTTATCTTAAGAATCATTAAATTCTATACCTATAAAAGAGCGGCCTGATGTATCATGTAAATTGTTTGAAATGCAAGAGTCAAATAATTCTCTGTGGTGGAAGAAAATATCTCTCATTTCTCCCCCGAAGAAATTTTTTTTTTGTTTCCAAAAGAATATTGTTATGTTGTCGTGACCGGTGCACTAATCCTTTGAATCCGGTACCAGCGGGTATCATACCCCCTAGCACAACGTTCTCTTTCAGGCCTTTCAACCAATCGATACGACCCCGGAGAGCCGCTTTTGCTAAAACTCGAGCAGTTTCTTGAAAACTTGCTTCAGATATAAACTTTGAGTGTTCATAGATGCTTTCGTTATTCCCAATAAGATGACTCGATACCAAATCGCTTCTTCTAAAGCACGCCCCGTTCGTTCCGCTCGCAATAATCCAATCAGTTCCCCGGGTAAAAAAACATTAGACATTCCATCTTCTGAAACCAATACTTTTGATGTTATTTGACATATAATAATTTCTATATGCCTATTATGGATCTATACCCCCTGAGATTGATAAACCTTTTGGATCTTATTAACCAAAGAGAGACGACTTTGCACTATAGTTAGCTCAGCACCAATCATGAATCCCCAAGGAATTCCAAGAATTCTTGTTATACATTCGTTCCAACCCTCAACTCTCTTTTCTAGGTTCATCGATATTGAATCAATCGAACGCACTTCTAACACTTGTTCCATGATAACTCTGTAAAAAGACTACTTTTAAGGCCTTTTTGACTTAAGTTATTGTTTGTTTAAGGGTACATATAAGTCATTTTAGATGTATGTAGCTGCATGTAATTGCATTTGTGGTGGTTGTGTTATTTTATTTTATTAAGGTGCTATATGAGGAGGAAGGTGTGGTTTTTAGTGATGTGCAGGAAACAACAAGCAAAATAGGCGAGCTGGGAAGTAATGTCGCGGTATCACACGCTGAAGAAGATTGAAATGCCTCGGCATTTCTGGCGTAGAAAACGACAAAAATATACAGCTGTACGTGGACAGCTGGCTCTGCACGTGAAATGATGGTTGTAACAACCTGCTAGGGGACCACTGACACCTGGAGGATAAGGTTCATGCACAACATGTGATTCTAGGGGTATGAGGGGTATTTTGCATCCAACGATATCCCAACAACATCATCATTACCCCTAGATATTTTTATTATATATTACACCTCACAAGAGAGAGTGTGTGTGGAAGAAAGGAGATGCATATTGTAGCAGAAAAACCATATTTTTATTTTCCCTTTTCCTTTCTTCTTCCTTGGGTTTTCCTCCATTGATAAAGCTTCAAGGAGTGGTGAGCTAGGTGCCGAGAGGAGCTAGCGAGCTAAGGCGGTTCGTGATGGCCGAGGAGACCTCCGGTGGCGCGCGTCGAAGGCTCTTTCTCACTTCCCTTTGCTGTTATTTTATTTATTTTATTTGTGGGTTGTTGGAACGAATATATTATGGATTTTTCTATGGATATTTCAAACCCCACCATGAACTAACTTATTTGGTGGTGTTGGTTTAATGGATGTTTTAACTTTATTTTAATGGTATATTTAAGTTTATTTTGGTTCTTTATTTGCTTTGTTTATGAATGCTTCACCATCTAGGCTTGTAAGAGGCATGGAAATGTCCATTTCTTAGATGAAGGTTAGGTGTTCGGAAGAATCCTAAGCTAAAACTACTTGTAAGTATTCGGAAGAAACACAAGGCAAGATCCTCATAAGCAATGGATTATAGTATTTTCAAGGGGCTTTGAACCGGCCTAGGAATATTATAACCTAATCCCTTAGATCTCGGAAGAGACTAGGATAGGATTTCAACGACTAAAAAGGGTGTCTTTATCAATAGGGTAGGCTTTCCAACATCGTTGAGTGAGAGCAGATGCCTTGGCATGCTATTCTGTTAGGTTCATGTGAGAACATTTTAGGAAAGCCATGTCGAGTAAGTAAAGACCAAATAGCTTAAATCTGCATGAGAGATAAGTTTAGCATTCTTAGATGAATCCCTACCATTCATTCCATTGAAAGCTTATCACGTGAGGATTATCTTCTTTTCATTTTATTTATCTTTTATTTACTGTTTTTACCATTTTTCATTGTCTTGACATTTCATCATTTTCAACACTAAACATCTATTCTTGCCACTGCATTTCCATTTGCTACACCATCACACCATCAATCCACATTCACCAGCATACACATATCCATTATCGTGACATTTGTATATATCAAGACTAACTATACTTAGATAGAATAATGCATAAACTTTACTCAATATCCTTCCAATCCCTGTGGAGACGATACTCACTCATCACTTATTACTTGAGCGATTGTGTATACTTGCACATTATTTGCGTATATTTTATATTACTCACAACACGCGAACATTCCACTTTTGGAAGACCCTGCGTTATATCACCAGACCTCGATTTTTCATATATAAATGTAACTAACGTATCTCCTTGGTAAAGGATTTCTCCATAATGCCCATGGACAGTTGCTCCCGAAGTTGCCAAATAAGGCTTAGCCGATCTTATTACTATAGAATCAACTTGAACAATAAAAACTTGACCCGATTTTAGGTGTGGTCCGCTTTTGATTATACATACATTTTCGAAATAAACTGCCCAAGACTAATTATTGTGGACGTTTCTTCACAATAATTATGATGATAATGATGATGGGGAAAATACCAATTCAAATTGACTGCATTCAAAATGATGTTACGGCATCGATCAAAATTATAAATTCTCCCATTTTCAGCTATTAAAAATAGTTAAGTACTTGAAAAGTCTATTTTAAATTGTCAAGCTGCAAATATTTCGCTACCGAGGTCTGATTATGAGTTATTAAAGGGTAAAATGATGAATAAAAATTCGCAATTTGAGGGGTTGTTCCTAAAGGACCCAATAAATTCTTAATTGGAATTAAAGAATCTTTTTTATTTTTAATTGATTGTTTTAGCACATTGTGATATTTTACATCGTTGAATGGGCCCATGCGAAAACAATTAGATGATGACAAAATTATCAAAGATTGGGATTCCTTATTTCTGTTCAAGAGCGTATGAATAGTTCCGTGATTTTGGCTAAATGATTGTTGAATCCTTGCGTTTGAATAAATGGAATAAAATGGATTTTTATTGGTACGATCTGACCTATTATCCGAAATCAATCCTGAACCTGACGGATCATTTCTTTTTCTGATATACAAAATATGGGATTTCACTAAGTCGATTTTTAGGAAATCTCTAATCAGACCGTTTGTCCTTACTTCAACAAAGGAAGCACGGACCTCTTCGGCGAAAGAACTTTTGTTGTCTTACTCCCAATTCAACACTAAACAAGTCCGAACTAGTTGAATGCTTGTGTCAGAAATTCTCCGAGTCAGTTTGCCATTTCCATAAAGGATATAATTGACAACTCGAAGTTGCATATTATCTTTTTCCCGAAACGGATCCTGGGGGAAGAGTGTTGCTAAATTTATACCGTTCGATATTTCATATGGGGTTACAGGTCGAACCAAAACAAAATACTTTTTCTTGGTAGGTGTGATCCGTTGGACATAGATCCAACTTTTCAATTTTTTTGATTCCTTAGAGTTTATTTTGCCCGTTCCTGGTGGTATCAAGATGCCACTGTGTCGAGATATCTTATCTCTTTTGCCGGGAAAATAGATATTACCAGAAAAAAATTTCAGTTCAATCCTTTTTTTTTCTCCACTCGGACCAATCCACCCGCTTGGCTTCTTGTATTTAAAGTGATTTGGGTATCTACTCCAATGATACTATTGTTACGTACCATTATGGAAGAAGATTCGGATAAAATATGCACTTCCTCGGGAATGAAAAAAATAGATCTACTTTTATTTGGTATTTTGGCTTAACCTTTTTGACCCCTCGATACTCAATCACATCCTCCTTTTTGATGATTGAATGCGCCCCTATAGTCCCATATTTAGTAATTCCTGAACTCTTTCTTCTGTATCGAGGATCAT